TTTTTTTTTTTTTTTTTTTTGAGATGGATTCTTACTCTGTCACCCAGGCTGGAGTGCAGTGGTGCCATTTTGGCTCACCTCAACCTCTGCCTCCCGGGTTCACTCCATTTTCCTGCCTCAGCCTCCCTAGTAGCTGTTACAGGTGCCCACCACCATGCCCGGCTAATTTTTTTGTATTTTTAGTAGAGATGGGGTTTCACTGTGTTAGCCAGGATGGTCTCGATCTCCTGACCTCATGATCCGCCTGCCTCGGCCTCCCAAAGTGCTGGGATTACAGGCATGAGCCACCGTGCCTGGCCAGGATTTCATTCTTTAAAAAATGCTTTCAGCTCATTTTACCTTAGCTCTACCCTCCATAATTCTTAAGGCTGGTATTTAATTTTTAAAATATTTTAATAGGAAATTATTTTAAAACAGTTTGTAGGTACTCAATTTAAAAAGGGATATTTACCTCCCGGAACTCAAATTATAAAAATATTTTTCTGGCCAGGTGCAGTGGTTCATGCCTGTAATCCCAGCACTTTGGGAGGCCAAGGCAGGTAGATCACCTGAAGTCAGGAGTTCAAGAGCAGCCTAGCCAACATGTGAAACCCCATCTCTACTAAAAATACAAAAAATTAGCCGGGCTTAGTGTGGGCGCCTGTAATTCCAGCTACTCGGGAGGCTGAGACCAGAGAATTACGTGAACCCAGGAGGTGGAGGTTGTAGTGAGCCGAGATCGCACCACTGCACCCCAGCCTGAGCATCAAGAGGGAGACTCCGTCTCGGAAAAAAAATATATATATTTCTCTGTCTCAAAAAAGAGAAAATTCTCACCAGACTGTCAATACTGTATATGCATTGAATTTTCATTTGCTTTCTGGGCCATTAAGTAGATTTCACGTCTGACAGATATTTCTGTGGAATTCTGTGTCTCTAAGTTCTATGTCCTTTTTTATGGTTTGACTGTAATACTTTGACTTTGCTTAATAGAATCCAAAATATTGGAGAACAAGGTCATATGGCTTTGCTGGGACATAGTCTGGGAGCTTATATTTCAACGCTGGACAAAGAGAAACTGAGAAAACTGACAACTAGGATACTTTCAGATACCACCTTGTGGCTATGCAGAATTTTCAGGTAAAGACATGATGAGTTTCCAGTGAAGACTTTTATGAGTCGGGTATAGTCGGAAAGATCTTTTTTCTGGAGCTGTACTACTCGGATTTAGATTTCCTCCTTCTTAGAAGGAGTGTTTAACCTCTCAATGCCTGTTTCATTGTCTGTTAGATGGGGATAGTATTAATACCTATTTCATAGAAGTGTTGTGAGGATTAAATGAGCTAATAGAGTAACACATGTGAAGGGTGGAGAATAGAAGCATATAAGTGTGTGATAGGGTGAGTAGTTGTTTATTTGTGGGATATCTAATTGGCACATGTCGGTAGAAGATAGAGCAGTGATCTAGATTCAAATACCGTTGTCCCTTATCCTTGGGTGTCCTTGGGGGATTGGTTCTGGACCTCCCATCGTCACCCCATGGTAAAAAAATTCATGGATGCTCAAATCCCTTATGTAAAATAGCACAGTATTTGCATATAATTTAGGCACATCTTCGCATATACTTTAATTTCCTGATTACACATCATACCTAATATGATGTAAATGCTGTGTAAACAGTTGTTAACACTGTATTGTTGAGGGAATAATGACAAGGAAAAAAGTCTAGATATTCAGTACAGATGCACCCATCTTTTTAAATTTCTGAAGATTTTTTACTCATGGTTGGTTGAATCCACAGATGCAGAACCCACAGGTTCGGAGGGCCAGCTGTGCTTTGAAAATATTAGCTTGTGTTTTATTAGAAAGAAAACTCTTGAGGCCAGGTGCGGTGGCTCATGCCTGTAATCCCAGCACTTTGGGAGGCTGAGGTGGGCGGATCACAAAGTGAGGAAATCGAGACCATTCTGGCTAACACGGTGAAACCCCGTCTCTAATAAAAATACAAAAAAATTAGCCAGGCTTGGTAGTGGACGCCTGTAGTCCCAGCTACTTGGGAGGCTGAGGCACTGCACTCCAGCCTGGGTGACAGAGCGAGACTCCATCTGAAAAAAAAAAAAAAAAACTCTCTCATAAGGAAGATGAATATGTACTATGAAATTGAAATTCGTTTTATTCTGTGATAATCCTAGCAATATTAAGGAATTACAACAGATGAAGGATTCAGCAGGAGACATAGGACTAGTGGTATTGGGTTTATGCTGTTACTTTTATGGAGAAGGAATGTTTGCCTAACTTGAGACATTTAACTTGAGAGATCCTCACTTTCAGTGTTGGGAAAGAACTTGGCCAAGCAGGAGTATAAGTTTCCCCAGCTTTATTAAAGGAGCAGTGTTCTGTTGTTCTAGTAAAAATCTAATGCCTGTAGTTGAAATCGTCCCTCCTCCTCTAGGAGATGGAACCTCAGCAGATTGTAGTAAAACCAAAAGTTAGCCCGACTAGCTTTTTTTTTTGAGACGGAATCTCACTCTGTCACCCAGGCTGGAGTGCAATGGCACGATCTTGGCTCACTGTACCCTCCACCTCCCAGGTTCAAGCAATTCTCCTGCCTCAGTCTCCTGAGTAGCTGGGACTACAGGCACTCCACCACAGCTGGCAGTTCATAGAGTCAGGGTTTCACCATGTTGGCCAGGCTAGTCTCGAAATCCTGACGTCAGGTGATTTGCCTGCCTTGGCCTCCCAAAGTGCTGAGATTACAGGTGTGAGCCACCACACCCAGCCTCTGACTAGCATTTTTGACAGTTTTATTTACTTTGGATGTTTTAGGGCTGAAACTCTGCTATGAACTATGCCTGTGTTATCCAGTGCTGGCTTTAGTTCATAATAAGCCAGAACCATGATCTTCAGGCTTCTTATATCTGGGAACTCCTGGTCTCTACTTGTTTTCGGTTTCTGCTCTTTATGGAATTGGGTATGGATGAAGGGTTATTGTCGCGCTGCTTGGTAACCCTGGCCGTAATGAGGTGTCAGCCATCTATGAGGATTTTTCGCATTCTTGTCCTCTCTGCCTAATATAAGTGACAGTTCCTAGCTTGAGAAAAGAATTGTCTCCGTGATTATTAAGGTTGACTTATACAATCCTTAACTAGAAATAAGAGCATATTCATATGTATCTCTTAACAGATATGAAAATGGCTGTGCTTATTTCCATGAAGAGGAAAGAGAAGGACTTGCAAAGATATGTAGGCTTGCCATTCATTCTCGATATGAAGACTTCGTAGTGGATGGCTTCAATGTGTTATATAACAAGAAGCCTGTCATATATCTTAGTGCTGCTGCTAGACCTGGCCTGGGCCAATACCTTTGTAATCAGGTAATGTGTTATCAGGTGGCTATTTTAAAGAAATAAAGTCGTCTTTTGCCCTGAAAGTTTTAAAGTTGACCCATTTCTCTAGTTGCTGTTCTTGTTGAGTGAAAAGAAAGATGGTCTTATATGCTTTTGTCATATTTGTAAAAATTACTGAATTTAGAAATAAAGAATATGTGGTAGATTACCCAAGGGCAACCACAGTCAACATTTTCTCTTTCTTCCCAGACTTTAGTCGAAGGGGATGTGTTTGTGTTTATATGGTTGTATCTGGCTCTTTTCACTTACTGTTAAAACAGGAATATATCATTTTAATAATAATTTTTCAAAGTATAGTTTATTTTTAATGCCTTTATGGTATTTCTTCAAGTGAATATATAGTAATTAACTGTTGCTTTTTTGAAAAATAGTGTTTGCATTCTCTTGCTTTCTGTGACCATTTTCAGGTAATGCTCTTTGTGTAGTGCTGTTAGGGACTTCTCTGTGCATAAAACTCTTTCTGTATTTTATTTAGGGTTATGATCCTCAGATGGATTTTCAGAGTCAGTCTAGAATTGCTGGATCAAAGAGCATGACTGGGTTTTTTTTTTTTTTTTTTTTTAAGACAGAGTCTCGCTCTGTTGCCCAGGCTAGAGTGCAGTGATGCAATCTCGGCTCATTGCAAGCTCCGCCTCCTGGGTTCACGTCATTCTCCTGCCTCAACCTCCCAAGTAGCTCGTACTACAAGCGCCTGCCACAATGCCCAGCTAATTTTTTTGTATTTTTTTAGTAGAGACAGGATTTTACTGTGTTAGCCAGGATGGTCTTGATCTCCTGACCTTGTGATCTGCCCGCCTCAGCCTCCCAAAATGCTGGGATTACAGGCATAAGCCACCGCACCTGGCTGAGCATGACTATATTTAACGTTCATGGTGCTTCTAGCCCAACTGGGGGGACTACATCGAGATAAGACACTGTTAACCTTCTTTACCAAGAACATTTGAAAGCAAAACCCATAAGGTTGGAGTGTTCCTCTTTTGTAAGCTGTAGGAGTCCCAGGGGTATGTTTGGGAGACACTCAGTGATTTTTAAATTGATTCTGAGCTATGATCACTGGTGGCAAGAAATTATGTCCTCTTCTTGAGGGTGTACAAAATGGGGAGTTTAATAATAATCCTCTGAAACGTGAAAGGAATTACTTAGTGTCTACTGCAAGCCAGGCTGTTGGGGACACAAGGCTGTTTGGGGTCAACAGTCTGACCTTCAAAAGATGTGTGAGAGTGTTCTGTTGAGAACAGCGGCTGGCAGAGCAGCATATGTAAGATGGTTATGTTCATGTTTTTTAAAGTGTGTGTATCCTTTATACCTATGTTTTTGTACCTAGAAAAAGACATAATTTTATACCTAGAAAATATCTGAAAGATTATGTATTAAACTGTTAACGGGTGGATTGCTGGCTTATAGGGTAGGGGGCTAGGCATTTTCACTTTTAATACCTGTATTTTTTTGATGATTTATTTTACTTGGGTGTCACATTCATAATTTTTAATCCTTTAAGGAGAAAAATGTGCTTATTAAATTTTTGGTCTCTGAAAGCTACCAAGTCTTAGTCATATAGAACAATATGTTGCAACTGTTTACAATTCCTAAAACTGTAAACTCCTCAAGGACTTGGAAGCTAAACATTAAGAATATAAAATTAAGTTGACAATCACTGTGTCTATGCATAACACTGACTTCACTTCTCTTGAGAAATGTGCATCTGCTAATCCATATTTATTACTTTTTGGGTGTGGGTGGACCCAAAAATAAGATACTGTTCTTTGAATGCCTTCAGCTGGTGTTATTTACCAGTAATGCTTGGAGAAAGAATCCAAAATTACCCCCACGAAAATGCTCACGACCCAGTTGTTTCCGTGTTTGCCGAAGTGTTTCTGGTATATTCTAGAATATACCAAAGATAGTAACTTGACTCATTTAGAAAATTTTACATTGTATCCTCTTATAAGGCACTTGGAAATTCACCTTTTTTTTTTTGGCTTGGCTTTCTAAATGTACTTTTACATTGATTTATAGTATTAAGAGTTCCTAAGGAGAGAGATTTCTTAGAATAATCATGGCTTGTCTTAGAGCCACAGCCTTTCACAGTCTGAAGTGAATGGTGCAGAGAGCTTTCTTGTCAAGTCATGTGTTTCTTCCTGCAGCTCGGCTTGCCCTTCCCCTGCTTGTGCCGTGTACCCTGTAACACTATGTTTGGATCCCAGCATCAGATGGTGAGTTTTACTTCTGGTTTGTAAAATCATGTGGGATTGTGTTTTGAAACTGCCTTTCAAATGAAGTTCTGTTTGCTGGCCTCCAGATAATTAGTAGCTTACTCATGTATTGCTTGGATCCTTGCTTTGTGTAATATATGCTTCTGTTAATATGTGAACGTCCATGAAGGTTGGTTGGTATATAGGTCAGGAGCACCTGGCTTTTAAGGAGTCTTGTAATTACTGTATCACCTGCTTTAAGTAGAAACATAGCAGCTCCATTAAGCACCAGAAATTTCTTCTAAAACTCATACTTTTAATGAGTTAGCACTGTTGCCTGGATTTATGAATGGGCAGATTTTGAAAATGAGGTTCTTCATTGTCATCGTGGGATTGAGTTCTGCTTATTTTCAGACATGCAGGTGATAAATCTCTCCTTAATGATTCCGAAAGGAAAATGAAGGGATGGATTTTAGAGTTTTGTATTTCTTTTGTCAAGGTAGTTTTGTTTTCTAGTTCAGGTACATCAATGAGTAATAGTAGAGATATATTCTTGGCTGTTACAGGGGAGTTGAGAGAACATTTCATTTAAATGTAAATGTTTAAAACCAAAGAAATGTTCCTGCATATGTACAGTTTTTACCTTTAATCTTGTTTAACTGATTTTTCTAGTCTTCAAGGAAAACTATTTGATTTTCACATCTATGATGAGAGAAAACAGAAAAATTGTCAAGAGTAAGAATTGATTTGACATTATTTTTGAGAGTTATCTGCTTCTTTTGTAAGTCATAATTTTTCATTTTATAGCTTTTATACTGGGCGCCTCATTTTTTAATGGTTTGTTTTGGTTCCAGGATGTTGCCTTCCTGGAGAAAATGATTAAAGATGACATAGAACGAGGAAGACTGCCCCTGTTGCTTGTCGCAAATGCAGGTAGGTAGCATGATGCTGAATCTACCATTTTGAATATATAGGAGTGAGACTAAGTCCTCAGCCTATAAAAGATAAAGTCTTAAGAAATGTGTGTGTGCCGCATGTTTAAGATAGTCCGTATCCACATTGTAGCAAAAACTGTAAGAGTGAAGTTGGCTCGTTAGATTTTCTTTAATCGTTGGTTTGTTTTGGAAGTTATTTTATGTGTGTGTATACCTTTTCATTTAGATTGTTTTTTTTTTTTTTTTTTTTTTTTTAGACGGAGTCTTGCTCTGTGCCCCAGGCTGGAGTGCAGTGGCGCGATCTCGGCTCACTGCAAGCTCCGCCCCCCCGGGTTCCCGCCATTCTCCTGCCTCAGCCTCCCGAGTCGCTGGGACTACAGGCGCCCGCCACCTCGCCCGGCTAATTTTCTTGTATTTTTAGTAGAGACGGGGTTTCACCGTGTTAGCCAGGATGGTCTCGATCTCCTGACCTCGTGATCCGCCCGTCTCGGCCTCCCAAAGTGCTGGGATTACAGGCTTGAGCCACCGCGCCCGGCTCATTTAGATTGTAAATACTTCTCTATCTTCTCCTTCATGTACTTCCTTTCTCTGTTCTAAACTGAATTGTATTTTATTTTTTTGAGACAGTTTCACTCTGTTGCCCAGGCTGGAGTGCAGTGGCAGAATCTCACCTCACTGCGATCTCTGCCTCCCAGGTTCAAGTGTTTCTCCTGCCTCAACCTCCTGAGTTGCTGGGATTACAGGTGCGTGGTACCACATCTGGCTAATTTCTTGTATTTTTAGTAGAGACAGGTTTTCACTATGTTGGCCAGGCTGGTCTCGAACTCCTGACCTCAGGTGATCCGCCTACCTCAGCCTCCCAAATTGCTGGGATTACAGGCGTGAGCCACTGTGCCTGGCCTGAATTTTTAAATGACACATTTAAGCCAGTTGTGGTGGCACGTGCCTATAGTCCCCCTACTCAGGAGACAAGCAAGATGTTGGCTTAAGCACAGAAGTTCAATACCAGCCTGGGTAACACAGCAAGACTCCATCTCAATAAATAAATAAAAATAATTGTACTGACATTGTAAGATTGTTGTAAAAATTAAACAAGAAAATATATTAAATGTCACACTTAAATATCTACCTTATAGGCGGCAGAGCAACTACCACTTTCTGCTCCATTTATCATATTCAGCATCATACTTGAAATCTAAGACAGTGCAATAAGGTAAAAAAAATAACTGACATATAGATTAGAAAGGAAGAAGTAAAACTTTGTTTGCAGGCATGATTGTATAGATAGAAAACTAAAGAAAAACTACTGGAACTAATTATCAAATCTAAACCATTTTCTTGATTTTTATATACTAGCAAAGAACAATTGGAAATTGAATTTTAAATGTCATTTATAGTGGGATCAAAAAACATGAAAAATTTATGGATAAATTTAACAAAATATATGCAAGATCTATACATTGAAAACTAAGAATGTTACTGAGAGAAATTCAAGAAGACCCAAAAACGATATGCCATACACATGAGTTGGAAGACTAAGTATTAGGTCAGTTCTTCCCAAACTAATCTATAGATTCAATGCAGTCCCTCTTAAAATCTCAACAGGCCGCAATTTCTTATAGAAATTGATGAGCTAATTCTAAAGTTTATATAGAAATACAAGGGATCTAGGAATAGCCCAAAGAATTTTGAAAAAGAACAAAATTGGAAGACTTACCTTGTCATACTTCAAGACTTCCTATAAAGCTACAAGTAAGACTGTGTGAGATTGGCCAAAGAAAATAGAGAATTCAGAAATAGACTCATGTGACATATATGGTCACTTCAGGTTTTTACAGATGCCCAGGTAATTCAAGGGAGAAAGGACAGTCTTTTTCCATCAGTGGTCTTAGAGCTTGAATATCCATATGGAAAACAACTGAATCTTAACCCTTATCTTATTCTCTGTATATATAAATATTAACTATAAATGGTTCATCAACCTAAGCATAGACCTAAGACAATAAAATGTCTTGAAGAAAATACAGGAGATCTTTGCAACCTTAGGTTACATTTCTTAGGACATAGAATATGTGAACCATAAATTGTACTTTATCAAAAATTAAAAGCATTCACTGTTTGAAAGCCCCTAGTAAGATGAAAGGTAAGTTACAGACTGGGAGAAATATTTGCAAAACATTTTTTTCTTGTTTCTCTTTTTTTTTTTTTGTCTGTTTTATTTTTTATTTTTTTTGAGATGGAGTTTTGCTGTGCTGCCCAGGCTGGGGTGCAGTGGTACAACCTTGGCTCACTGCAACCTCCACCTCCCGGGTTCAAATGATTTGCCTGCCTCAGCCTCCCGAATACCTGGGATTACAAGCACACGCCACCACGCCTGTAAAATACAAAATATTTTTGTATTTTTAGTAGAGATGGGATTTCGCCATGTTGGCCAGGCTGGTCTCAAACTCCTGACCTCAGGTGATCCACCTGCCTTGGCCTCCCAAAGTGATGGGATTACAGGCATGAGCCACCACACCCAGCTAACCACTGTCCCAGGCCTGTCATCTTTTAAAATTTCTTTTTCATTCTTTTCCCGAGAAGCTGCAAAACATTTGTTTAACAAATAACTTGTATGCAAAATGTATAAAGAACTGTTACAACTCAATAAGGAGACTAGCAATACAATTTTTTTTTTTTTTCTTTTTTTTTTTTTTGAGATGGAGTCTCATTCTGTTTCCCAGACGGGAGTGCAGTGGTGCAATCTTGGCTCACTGCAACCTCCACCTCCCGGGTTCCAGCGATTCTTCTGCTTTAGCCTCCCAAGTAGCTGGGATTACAGGCATGCGCCACCACACCTAGCTAATTTTTTTTGTATTTTTAGTGGAGATGGGTTTCACTGTGTTGGCCAGGCTGGTCTTGAACTCTTGACCTCAGGTGATCCACCTGCCTTGGCCTCCCAAAGTGCCAGGATTACAGGTGTGAGTCACTGTGCCTGGCCTACAATACAATTTTTTCAGTGAACAGAAGATTTGAGCACATACTTCATCAAAGAAAATGAAAATGTATAGCACTTGAAAAGATGTTTAACATCATTAGTCATTAGTGAAATGCAAGTTAAGATCACCATGAGCCATTACTGCATGTCTGTTAGAATGGAGAAATTACAGGTGGCTCACACTTGTAATCCCAACACTTTGGGAGGTTGAGACAGCAAGATCGCTTGCCCTCAGGTGTTAGAGACCAGCCTGGGCAACATGGCGACACCCCTAGGAAATTTCTACAAAAAATACTAAACAGTAGCCAGGTGTGGTAGTGTGCACCTGTAGTCCCAGCTACTCGAGAGGCTGCGGTGGGATATTGGCTTAAGCCCAGGAGAGAGAGGCTGCAGTGAACCAAGACTGCACTACCATACCCCAGCCTGGGTGACAGATCAGACCCTTTCTTAAAAAAAAAAAAAAAAAATCTTTAAAATACAATGTCAGGCCAGGCACAGTGACTCATGCCTGTAATCCCAGCACCTTGGGAGGCTGAGGCAGGCAGATCACCTGGATTTGGGAGTTGGAGACCAGCCTGGCTAATGTGGTGAAACTTTGTCTCTACTAAAAATACAAAAATAGCTAGGTGTGGTGGCGCTTGCCTGTAGTCCCAGCTACTTGGGAGGCTGAGGGAGGAGAATCACTTGAACCTGGAAGGCGGAGGTTGCAGTCAGCCCAGATAGCCCTACTGTACTCCAGTCTGGGTAACATAGTGAGACTGTCTCAAAAAAAAAAAAAAAAAAAGGTCAAGTGCTGGTGAGGATGCGGAGGACCTGGAGCAAGTGAAATGCAAATACAGCGTCAGATGCAGGGGATGTGAGTTGTTACAGCAACTCTGGAAAAGCTTGGCACTTCCTCAAAAAGCTGAACATAGAATTTTCAAGTCACTATACTGGCTAGGAAAAAAAAATAAACAAACATCGAATTGCCATATAATAATAAAGAGTAATAAAAACATATCTCTGCACAGAGACTTGTATGCTGCCTGTAATCCCGGCACTTTAGCAGGCCGAGGTGGGAGGATCCCTTGAGGCCAGCCTGGGCAACATAGCATGACCTCATATCTACGAAAAATAGAAAAAAATTAGCCCAGCGTGGTGGCAGGCGTCTGTAGTCCCAGCTGCTTGGGAGGCTGAGGTGGGTGGATTGCTTGAGCCCAAGAGGTTAAAGCTGCAGTGAACTATGATAGTGTCACTGCACTCCAGCCTGGGTGACAAAGCAAGACCTTTTCTCTAAAAAATAAAAGACTTGTATGCAAATGTTCAGAACTGAAATAACCCCAGTGTCCTTCACCTGGTGAATGGATAAACAGATAAACAAATTGTGCTATGTTTAGCTCATGGACAGCTAAGCAGTAAATAGAGCTACTGACATACATATTACCGTGAATGAATTTCAAAAGCATATACAAAAAGCCAGACTCAAAAGTTACAATAATGAATGATTCCACTGATAAGAAATTCTACAAAAGTTACACTAATGGATGATTCTACTGATAAGAAATTCTATAAAAGGCAAAACTAGGCCAGGCATGGTGGCTGATGCTTCTAATCCCAGCACTTTGCGAGGCCGAGGTGGGTGGATTACAAGGTCAGGAGATCGAGACCATCCTTGCTAACACGGTGAAATCCCGTCTCCACTAAAAATACAAAAAATAAGCTGGGCGTGGTGGCGAGTGCCTGTAGTCCCAGCTACTCGGGAGACTGAGGCAGGAGAATGGCATGAGCTTGGGAGGCAGAGGTTGCAGTGAGATGAGATCATGCCACTGCACTCCAGCCTGGGTGACAGAGTGAGACTCCGTCTCTATTAAAATAATAATAATAATAATAATAATAAATTAGCTGGGTGTGGTGGCGGTTGCCTGTAGTCCCAGCTACTCGGGAGGCTGAGGCAGGAGAATGGCGTGAACCCGGGAGGCGGAGCTTGCAATGAGCCAAGACTGTGCCACTGCACTTCAGCCTGGGCGACAGAGTGAGACTCTGTTTAAAAAAAAAAAAAAAAAAAAGGCAAAAAACTACAGTGACAGAAGCAGATCAGGATTTTCCAGGGCCAGTGAGGAGTTGGGGAAAGGGTAATTATGGTAGGGTTGACGGGATTTGGGGGTTGGTGGAAGTATTCTAAATCTTGATTATATTGGTGGTTACATGCTCTATATATTTGTCAAAACTCATTGGACTGTCTTACATGAGTGAGTTTTATTGCATGTAAATCATACTGCAGTAGGCCGGGCTTGACAGCTCATGCCTGTAGTCCCAGCACTTTGGGAGGCTGAGGGAGGTGGATCACAAGGTCAGGAATTCAAGACCAGCCTGACCAGTATGGTGAAACCCCGTCTCTACTAAAAATACAAAAATTAGCCAGTTGTGGTGGTGCGCACCTGTAGTCCCAGCTACTCAAGAGGCTGAGGCAGGAGAATCACTTGAACCTGGGGAGGCAGAGGTTGCAGTGAGCCAAGATTGCACCACTGCACTCTAGCCTGGACGACAGAGCACTGCTGTCTTAAAAAAAAAAAAAAAAAAACTATAGTAAAACTGCTTATTTAGGCCGGGTACGGTGGCTCATGCCTGTAATCCCAGCACTTTGAGAGGCCAAGGCAGGAAGATCACCTGAGGTCGGGAGTTCGAGACCAGCCTGGCCAAAATGGTGAAACCCTGTCTCTACTAAAAATATAAAAATTAGCCTGTTGTGGTGGTGGGTGCCTGTAATCCCAGCTACTTAGGAGCCTGAGGCAGGAGAATAACTTGAACCCAGGAGGTGGAGATTGCAGTGAGCCGAGATCGCACCACTGCACTCCAGCCTGGGCAACAGGGCAAGACTCTGTCTCAAAAAAAAAAAAAAAAAAAAAAAAGACAAAATAGAAAAACCACATAAATATTCACTTTATTGCCAGCAGGAAAACCATCACTTCCTGCCTTGTTGTTGTTTAAAAACACAAATTCGCCCATAATAAATCATGTGATACACTGGAGGGGCTGCAGTTTGCATGTGACTGAGTGACTTCCAGTGTGACTATGTTGCAGGTGCCAGAAGACACATCTCAAGGGTTAGTCACCAGACATTGCCAAGAAATATAAAAAGAGAATCTGAGTGCGACCCAGGCACTAACACACAGCAGTACGCTTTTATTTTGCCGGAAGAGCCTGTGGCACAGCCCATGCATTGACGTTTCATCTTGTTTCAGCGAAACTAAATGTGTCTGTTAAGATTTTTTTTGTTTGTTTGTTTAAATTTGAGGTAGATTTAGGTGTGAGGGGAAAAAGTTTTCAGCCATTTTCCTGGCATAGACCTTACAAAAGAACCACTTTCTTTAGCTATGTTTGTTGAGGGCGTTGGTGAGGGTTTGAGATCTTATTAGTTGGCTTGCTGCTAACTGGAAATTTAGGATGGTTGGGGGAATGCCTGACTCCACGTTTTACCTAAGCTCTCTCTGAAAAGGGATCTCCCTAGCAAAATCTGTAGTGTAATCAGTTACCAAGGGAGTGGCTGAAAGTGCTTAATATGCTTAAGCTGGCTTCAGAATGCATGTTCTGTGTTACAAAGAACCTGGGTAGAAAAACACAAATTCATCTGTATGGTTTTGTTTGTTTGTTTTTTGAGATGGAATCTCACTCTGTTGCCCAGAGTGGAGTGCAGTGGCACGATCTCGCCTCACAGCAAGCTCCGCCTCCCGGGTTCACGCCCACCACCACGCCCGGCTAATTTTGTTCTTGTATTTTTAGTAGAGACGGGGTTTCACCGTGTTAGCCAGGATGGTCTCGATCTCCTGACCTCGTGACCCACCTGCCTTGGCCCCCAAAGTGCTGGGATTATAGGCATGAGGCCACCTATATGATTTTTATAAAGGGCATATCTAAATCAAAATAATCCAGGAAGTGACAATAAAATAAAAAGGTGGAAAAGTTCATGTTGGACAAATACAAAATGAAAGTACCATAGCAATATTAGTGTGGGATAAAACAAACTTCATATTGATGAAAGATGTAATCTCCTAAAAGAAATAACAGTTATACCTGCTGGGCACGGTGGCTCATGCCTATAATCCCAGCACTTTGGGAGGCCGAGGTAGGCAGATCACGAGGTCAGGAGTTGGAGACCAGCCTGGCGAACATAGTGAAACCCCATCTCTACCAAAAATACAAAAAAATAAGCCGGGCATGGTGGCGGGTGCCTGTAATCCCAGCTACTTGGGAGGCTGAGGCAAGGAGAATCGCTTGAACCTGGGAGGTGGAGGCTGCAGAGCTGAGATCATGCCACTCCAGCTTGGGCGACAGTGAGACTCCGTCTCAAAAAAAAAAGAAGTAACAGTTATGAGTGCTTGTGAACGTAACCTTAAAATATATAAAGGAAAGCTAAAGGAAAAGTCTGATAGAACACAAGTATATATTGACAAACCACAGTCTTGGTGGGAGATTTGAATATATTTCTCATGAGTCAGCAGATCAAGTGGATAGAAAATAAGTATATAAAAGATTTTAATAACACAGATACATGTAATAGAGTTTACATGCTCTTCAAAGCTTGTAATAAATCAACTTGCAAACACTGATTTTAAGTCCTTCCACAAAGAAAATCTCAATAAAATAGGGATATAATAAGTCACTTCCCTCCTAGGGCGATAGTGTGTATAAAAGTGCTTAAGGTATAAAGCCTTAGAAAACATTTGTTCCTTTTAATGCCCTGATTTGTTTTGTCCTAGGAACTGCAGCAGTAGGACACACAGACAAGATTGGGAGATTGAAAGAACTCTGTGAGCAGTATGGCATATGGCTTCATGTGGAGGGGTAAGCTGGTGGTCAGGCTGGTGGCTCCATTCGGGCCTGCAGAGTCCTCATGAGGACTGGACATCCAGGCTCTCATTTTGGTGACATTTATCACAAAGGGCTCTTTGGGTCACAGATCACAAAATAACCCAAATTGGCTTAAGCCGAAAGAGATCTTATTGGCTCACATAACTACGAAGAGCAGTGCCAGGACTGCCTCAGGCACGACGTCAACCAGGATTCAGTGTCTTACTCCCACCTCTGCTCCCCCAGTTACAGGCACTGGGCTTAGTTTCCTCTCTCTGTGGACAGATCTTCCTGTTACAGTGCAAAGTAGCTGCAGAAACTCCAGCCTTCTTTCCAGCTTTGTGGTCAGCTGGAAGCCCTAACAAGTCTCATATTGAACCAGCCACTGTGGCCAGCGAGAAGTAATCCTCTGATAGTTCAGGTTCTTTGCCCTCCTCTGGAGCAGACAGTGGTGACTCCTCCCCACAAAGCTCATGTTCTGCTGGAGGAAATGGGGGTGGCGCCCCAGAAGGCTGTTGGAGGGCCATTAAGAGAAGCAGGGGGAACCAATGTGGGCAGCCAGAGTAGCCCATATCCACCACATCATACAGGGAGGTTTCTTTTTGATCCCTAAGTAAAGAATGATAACTGGAAAATGAGATCCATGAAAGAGAATAATGCTCTCATTATACTAAATGAGCAGGGTTAGTTCCTGAGACACATTTTTATTAAAGTGTATTTTCAGGATTTTCCTTCGTTTGTGTAAAGCACATCTTCTGTTGCTGTTATAAAAGCTAATAACACATTAAAAAGATATTTAAGTGTCAACTTGCAACAGCCCAACCTTTATTTTTTTAAGTACATAGTGAATAAGCAACATTAATTAGTTCTTAGGCTGGTGTTTTTTCTTCCAGTGTGAATCTGGCAACATTGGCTCTGGGTTATGTCTCCTCATCAGTGCTGGTATGTCGTTGATTTACTGAATATTGGTGTTTTTAAGAAGGAATTTAAAACCACTCAGTCCGTCATAGCTCTTCACAGTTTTTATGAATGGAGGAGGGTGTTGGGTTTGTGTATTCTGATAATCTAATGAAGAGTTGTTCTTGTTTTGGTAGGCTGCAACCAAATGCGATAGCATGACGATGACTCCTGGCCCGTGGCTGGGTTTGCCAGCTGTTCCTGCAGTGACACTGTATAAACACGATGACCCTGCCTTGGTTAGTTTCCCCTCCCTGGGGAGGGAGTGGATGTGGCTAATACACATTACTGGTTTTGGGGGCGAAATACAGAAAAATAAAGGAAAAAGTGAAAAATATTCATAATTTCACTTCTAGTTCATTTTTTAAAAGAGAAACTTGTGGGACTTTTTTTAGTGACATTTTATGATTACCTAATATTCTGTCACAATTTAATTCTTCTCCATTTATGAACTTACAGGATGTTTTCAGATTTTGTTACTGAAATAAGCAGTGAACGTCTTTCTGTATTTCTGATTATTTCCTTAGAATAGGTTCCCAGATGTGGAATGACTGAGTGGGGGAATTTTAAGCCTCCTGATCCACATTGTCCAATAGGTTGTAACCTTTTTTTTTTTTTTTTTTTGATACGGAGTCTCGCTCTGTCACCCAGGCTGGAGTATAATGGTGAGATGATCTTGGCTCACTGCAACCTCCACCTCCTGGGTTCAAGTGATTCTCTTGCCTCAGCCTCCCAAGTAGCTGGGATTACAGGCGTGTGCCACCACATCTGGCTTATTTTGTATTTTTAGTAGAGAGGATTTTACCATGTTGGTCAGGCTGGTCTTGAACTCCCGATCTCAGGTGATCTGCCTGCCTCAGCCTCCCAAAGTGCTGGGATTACAGGTGTGAGCCACTGCACCCGACCACATTTTTTTTTTTTTTTTAATTGTAGTTGTGGGCCAGGCGTGGTGGCTCATGCCTGTAATCCCAGCACTTTGGGAGGCTGAGGCAGGCAGATGGTTTGAGCCTGGGAATTTGAGACCAGCCTGGGCAACACGGCGAAACCCCATCTCTATAGAAAAATACTAAAGAATTAGCTAGGCGTGGTGATGTGAGCCTGTAGTCCCAGCTATTCAGGAGGCTAATGCGGGAGGGCTGACTGAGCCCTGGAGATCTAGGCTGCAGTGAGCTATGATCACACCACTGCACTCCAGCCTGGGCGACAGAGTGAAAACAAAATCCTGTCACAAAAAAGAAAAAAAAAATAGTGTGGTTCTTGATAATATAGGTCAGCATGCAAAGTAAGGTTTAAGTGATTTCTACTAAAACACTGTCTGCTGTCTTGCTCAGCTAATAATGGCCAGGTGTTTGAGGATGCTCAGAGCTACTTTCGAAGTGGGGAGTCTCCTAGGTTCTGGGATGTGACCCATCTGGGTTTTCTACTGGCTTTTCCTGGCTTTGCCACTCCTGAGCTGTGAACCCTTGGACAAACCGAGGTCTCTGAGTGAAGTTACCTAGAATACTTAGCTCTTAGAGTTGTTGAAAGATCAAATGGAAAATGTAAACCAAGTGACTAGTATGGCATCTAGCCCATACTAAGTGGTAGCAAATGGTAGCTGGTTAGTTCTATTATGAGATTGCAATGGCTTTGATTAATAAACCTCTTTTGGCTTTTTTAGACTTTAGTTGCTGGTCTTACATCAAATAAGCCTGCAGACAAACTCCGTGCCCTGCCTCTGTGGTTGTCTTTACAATACTTGGGACTTGATGGGATTGTGGAGAGGATCAAGCATGCCTGTCAACTGGTGAGTAGAAGCCTGACATTTAAATGAAAGACTCTTTGGCCACAGTAGAGACAGAAAAACGTCTCATTTCTGTACCTTCCATCCAGAATGTTGTTGTCTGGATTGACTGTCTTGTGAGCCAGTGACTAACTGCCCTGCATGTAAATCTTTCTTGTTCAGAGTTCTGGGAGAAAGTGCTGGGTTGTCTGTCCCAGCATTTGTGTGCCGATGAAATCAGATGAAAAGGAACCCCATTGTCAGCATGGGATCAGAAAAGAAGTCACAGATGACTTCCAAGGAGTGGAGAAGGGTGCAAAAGGTGGAGGGTAGGGAGCCAATGTTCCCCTTAACTGACTGACTATGGCGAAGGAATGGGAAGGTTACCGGGTGATTATGGAGGGCGTGGATATTTTGAAAACCAGCTGTCTTGGGCTCCCAAATTGCAGGGCTCTTGGGGACAGTTCTAATTATCTCTCTATTTTAGGTGTGTTCTAATTGTGAAAAATACGTAATTATGCTATATTTCAATGTTTTAGACCAATCTTCTGTAACAAAATACCTTAGACTGGGTAACTTATAAACAACAGACATATATTGCTTACAGTTCTGGACATGAGAAGTCTCAGATCAAGGTGCCAGGAGATTCCGTGTCTAGTGAGGGCCCGTTCCTCATAGATAGTACCTTGCATGTGGCCTCACATGGCAGAAGGGATGAACACAGTCCCTTGAGCCTCTTTCAGAAGGTCACTAATCCTGTTCATGAGGGTTCCATCCTCATGCCCTAATCACCTCCCAAAGGCCTCAACTCGTTTGGGATTAGGTTTCAACAAAGGAATTTTGCGGGGACATAAATATTCAGATCATAGCATTTAGAAAGCAAAAAAACAGGCCAGGCACGGTGGCTCACGCCTGTAATCCCAGCACTTTGGGAGGCTGAAGCGGGCGGATCACGAGGTCAGGAGCTCGAGACCATCCTGGCTAACATGGTGAAACCCCGTCTCTACTAAAAATACAGAAAATTAGCCGGGCGTGGTGGCGGGCACCTGTAGTCCCAGCTGCTTGGGAGGCTGAGGCAGGAGAATGGCGTGAACCCGGGAGGTGGAGCTTGCAGTGAGCCAAGATCGCACTGCTGCACTCCAGCCTGGGTGACAGAGCGAGACTCCGTCTCAAAAAAAAGAAAAAGAAAAAAAACCAAGGTCATACTTACTCAGGGTTAGAGCTGAGCCCTACCTAAGCTCAGAAGTGCATCACCATTTTCTTACCTGTGAAATATATGACATAGGATTGCCAGGATGGCTTGAGGAATGAATACAGGTAGAGCTCTTTCTGTAGTGTCTGTTCATATAGTAAATTATGCACGTGGGTTGAAATCTTTGTTTTAAATATATTCTTGGGGAGTTGGCACTTCCTCAAGTATCATTTCTATATTTATGAAAAATAGGTGGCCGGGTGCGGTGGCTCACACCTGTAATCCCAGCACTTTGGGAGGCTGAGGTAGGCGGATCACCTGAGGTCAGGAGTTTGAGACTGGCCTGGCCAACATGGTGAGACCCCCTGTCTCTACTAAATATACAAAAATAGCCAGGCATGGTGGCAGGCGCCTGTAGTCCCAGCTACTCAGGAGGCTGAGGCAGGAGAATTGCTTGAACTTAGGAGGTGAAGGTTGCAGTTAGCTAAGGTCGTGCCACTGCACTTCAGGCAGGGTGACTCCATCTAAAAAACACACACACACACGCACACACACACGAAAAACAAGGATTTTCATAGTGTTCTGGCAGTAGTCCCTTTATTCATCATATGTTAGGATAGTTCAGTAGTTTTAAGATTTATGCTCTGGGCCGGGTGTGGTGGCTCATGCCTCTAATCCTAGCACTTTGGGAGGCCCGGGCAGGTGGATCACTGAAGCCCCAGAGTTCATGACCAGCCTGGGCAACATGGCGAAATCTTGTCTCTACAAAAAATACAAAAATTAGCCAGATGTATTGGCGCAAACCTGTGATCCCAGCTACTCAGGAGGCTGAGGTGGGAAGATCACTTGAGCCCAGGAGGTCAAGGTTGCAGTGAGCCCAGATAGCACTACTGCACTCCAGCCTAGGTGACAGAGTAGGACCCTGTCTCAAAAAAAGAAAAGAAAAAAGATGGATGCTCATTATGTTTACAGAAGCAGTGCATTTTTTGAAAAGTGTCTCACTGTGCTGTTAGCTCACTTCTTGAGATGTGGTTCTTAGGAAAGAGAAGCCTTAATAACTTAATTTAGAGACGGTTTAGGCACTCGGAGATTTTTTCAATTCCCCTTGGCTATGGAGTGCAGAATGATGCCATTAACTACCAAACCCTTGAGGTCAGCACAGCTCTGGCATCTTCCTGCAGGCAGAACCGTATACTTCTGAGGAACTGAATGCTGTCCTGCTGCCGACTCATGGGCTAAATGCATGTGTTAAACTGCATGGACATTTAGCAGACATGGCCATCTGTATATAGCCATGCCTTAGAGTCCCCAGTGGAGCGTACATTTCCTGAGAGCGCAAATCAGCATTCGCCTCCTCATCCTCCTCTTCCTTCTCTTGTTTCTCTTCTTCGGTAGTTATTGACACCTCAGTGTCAGGCACCACGAAGTACTTTCATGCATCATCTCATTTGATCCTGCAGCTTCACTAGAATGTAAGTTCCACTCATGACAGTGTATTCAGAATTAATTTTCTTGAAGAAAAAAAGGAATTTCTTGAGGGGCTTTCTACTGTCCACTACTCAGTGAGTGTCTGTTTAATGAATGTACTCCAATCCCATGAGTTAGATACGATTAGTGATGAGGGACCTGGGATTGAGACATTAGTCTAGTGACACTACATTCTAGACCGCCTTCCTAAGCACTTGTTGTATTGCATATCAACTCATTTAATCCTCACAGCTACGCGAGATACATACTGTCCTCCCCATTTTATGACTGAGGGAACTGAAGCACAGACAGCTTAAATAGCTGGTGACTGGCAGATGAAGTGACTTACCCGTAGTCCTGCAGGTGGTGAGTGGCAGCATCGTGCTCTTATCACCAGCTCTTGAGTGCGCTGTGTCCTCTCATTTGTCATTGGTCTCCCCCGGTGTTCGGTACTGTGCCTTGCACGTGTTTATACTCAGTAGCTTTTGAATGAAAGACAGACTTACATTGCAAATACTACAGATTTCTGTGTCTTATTAGAAACTGCTTTCCTTGAATTACTAATGTAACTTTTAAATGAAAGATTGGTGAATATTTACAGATGTTGAAATACAAAAATGGGTGGCTGAACTTAGAAACCACCAAGTCGCAGGTGACTTTGCCTGATATTCATGTTCACAGACCTCCACAGCCCCTGGTGAAAACCACTTCTTCATATCCCGTGTCCGTTTGATTACACGTGCTATTTTTTGTCATTTGCAGAGTCAACGGTTGCAGGAAAGTTTGAAGAAAGTGAATTACATCAAAATCTTGGTATAGTATATAATTTCACGTTTTCAAAACATAACTTTTTTTTAAACTTCGGCAACTTAGAATGATTTTAGAACTTTAGAATGATTTTCTCCACATTTCAGTGGAATTGTGTCAGCTCCAGTAAAAACAACAACAACAACAAACTGCCTATATTTATACAGTGAGCCTGAAGCGAAGAAATTTGAACCATACAATGTTTAATTCCTACGGTGCTTTTCATAGACTTCATTTATTGTGTTAAAGTTCAGAATTGCACGAAGATAAACACCATTGACTTCAGCTGCCCAAGGCCTTGGGCACACTCATCTTCCCAAAATGAAAACTCACTGTGTGCCTCAGAATGCTTTGGGCTTCTCTTTCTGAAACCTTCTGCCATCTGTTTTCATTTGCATGAAGCAGGAGAAAGGGAAAAGGAAATGGCCCTGCTCTTGTCTTCTGATACTTTCCTGAAGTGAATCCAACAGAGATTGCTCCCTAGGCATAACTAGACAAGGAAATAAGGATTTAGGAGAGAATGAGGATCAGTTCAGGTTTGATTGTTTTTGTGTTTTGCTTCATTGTATTTTAGAACTTCAGGAAATATATGTCAAATTCTGATTTAAATAGGTTCACTGAGTGTTTCTTTGACAATTCTGCAAGGTATGCTTAAGTTTACAACTAACATTTGAGCGTATTTGGGGTTCAAGTCAGTAGAGTTTATTTTTCTTTTAGAACATGGTTTGGTTTAAATACAAAAAGTAGCCGAGCGCGGTGGCACACACCTGTAGTCCCAGCCACTGGGGAGGCTGAGGTGAAAGAATTGCTTGAACCCGGGAGGCAGAGGTTGCAGTGAGCCGAGATTGTGCTACTGCACTCCAGCCTGGGTGACAGACACCCTGTCTCAAGGAAGAAAAAAAATACATGGTTTTGTTGAAGGGGGTGTGTCTACTCTGCCTTCTGAGTGGGAGTCTGGAGCCAGTTGACCCGAGTTCTAGCTCGGTGGGGGATTCTAGCCTTGGACGAGGAAGTGGACCACTGGAAAAGCAGAAGGGATGAATCTTAAGTTCAGAGGCCTGGGCCCTACACTGAGCAGTGCCACAGGGTGACCCTGTGACATTGAGTCATTTTCTTTCCAGGCCTGCGAGCTCCACTGTCAAATGAAAGTATGTTGGTTGAACTCCTCTGATTGCAAACAGAGAAGCAAATTATGGCCTCGCTTGAGCAAGCTGTTAGGAATCCAGGCAGTGCTGGGCCTGTCTGCTTTCCTGCCCCTGCCATGCTGAGCGCACTCAGCTTTTCCTCAGTCATCGCTGCTCCCTCATTCTCAAATCGGGGGACCCAGTGGTGCTAATCACCAGTTGTTTTGGAGCATCTCTGTAGGCCACGCTGGCCCAGGCAGAAAGCCTGCTCTGTCCCTTCTTCCAATGGCTGTTTTCTCAGTAGAGGATACAATAATTGGCTAACACCATGAGGTGTTATGGTCTGTGAGTCATTGTTGTCATCACCACCGTCCCAGCTGCTGCTTGTGAAATGCATGCATGGTATTAAGTACCTTACATGCGTTATTTCATTTAACCCTCCCAACAGTCTCCTATGTACATGCTGTTCTCTCTGCCTGGAAACACCGTTTCCCACCCCCTCACCCCCAATTCTTTTTATTTTTTTTGTGATGGAGTCTCGCTCTGTAGCCCAGGCTGGAGTGCAGTGGCACGATCTCGGCTCACTGCAACCTCCGCCTCCTGGCTCCCTGCTCAAGCAGTTCTCCTGCCTCAGCCTCCCAAGTAGCTAGAATTACAGGCACGTGCCACCATGCCCACTAATTTCTATATTTTTAGTAGAGACGGAGTTTCACCACGTTGGCCAGGCTGGTCTTGAACTCCTGACCCCATGATCCTCCCGCCTCAGCCTCCCAAAGTGCTGGGATTATAGACGTGAGCCGCGCCCAGCCTCCCCAGCCCCAATTCTTCTAATGGCTGGTTTCTTACCTTTCAGATCTTAATTCAAATCTCACCTCTTCAGAAAGGCCTTTCCTGACCACCCTAAGATACCCTCCCACCATCAGATGTCACTCCATCCCTTGGGTCATCTTCGTCACTCTTATTACTATCTGAAATCAGATCTGTTTGTCTTTCCTATAGAAGCTTTGTAAAGGCCTTATACAGACTCACCACTGTCCCTCACCTGGGCATTAACACCCAAGACCCTAGCCCTGAAAGCCCAGTGCCAGGCCCCAGACATGCCCCCATCCCCTGCCACTCAGCTGACATTCGTCTTTCTGTTTCCTCTGTGTGGATTCACCTTTGTGTGTGTGTGAGCCCAGCCATGGTTTAACCTTTTTTTGGTTCTTAGTTATATTTAATCCAGTATTTCAGATATTCAGAATTGACAGCTTCAGTATCCACTCAGTCTATCACGTTGCTAGAACCAGGAGTGTCTCTAACCCTGTGTAGTATTTCTCACACACATTGACATTTAAGACCACTGAGTTCAAAGAAAGAAAAGATCCTAATATTCATAGAAGTCTTGGCACTCACCTCACTCTGCCATCTCCTAGCTGAGTATGGGAGAATGGGTGGATTATTTTGTTGCCTTTTTGTTCCTACTTGCTTATTGAACTTGCCCCCCTATGTAAATATGAAGCAACCCCCCCTGCCCCGCTGCCGCCATACCTTTAAAAGTATCACATGTTGTATTTGTGTAAGTGAAAGATGATGGATGTGAAGGCACTTAGCACAGGACTGGCCGCGTAAATAATTGGCAGATTTGAATTCGCATCCTGCTTGATCTGAATCCTGTCCACACGGTCCTTTGAAAAGTTAGTAGAAAAGATCTTGGGCCGCTGCTTCTTGCCTTTCCAAGTTAGCATTTCCTGTTGAGGCCCTACCAGTGAGTCATCACTCAAAGAGCCTTGGAACAGGAGTTTTATGACTAGAGCTATAGTTCTGGGATTGTTGGATGCTTAGAGATCTTCTCCCCCAGGACCGCCCACACGCCCCTGCAGTGCCACAGAGCCGGCCAAGGACATGGCTGCTTAGGGTACCCTGACCCCATGGCGTGACCAGGTCAGGGTATACTGTTTGATGCAGAACAGGAACTGGCTGCTGGATTATCGTAACACATAATGCAGTGGATGTTTTCAACTGTTAGGAAACCCACTAATGAAGTTAGTCGTCTGTGGCCTGTCTTTAATAATAAGTAAATATATTAGAAAATACACAGATCCAGTTCTCAGCTGTGCTTGTCTACATCTCCAGCAGGATTGCATCTTGTTCCAAAAGTTTTACAAAGGGGAACAAAGTACTTGTTTCCCCCTTTTTTCCTGTGAGTATAAAAACTTCTAGTTGGCCAGGCACAGTGTCTCACGCCTGTAATCCCAACACTTGGAAAGCCAAAGTAGGAGGATTAATTGAGGCCAAGAGTTCATGACCAGCCTGGACAACATAGCAAGACCCCATCTCTAAAAAAAAGTTTAAGTTTCAATAAATCTTGCATAATTTCTGGGATTCTTGAAAGCATGGGCTCTCTCAGCACTGAGTCTAATTTGACTGCTTCTTACTGATTTGAATCTTTAATGTTAGACCTATGTTTATCCCTTATTAAAATTTCCGCATGCTTTACTTTCAATGTACCCGTGTCAGATATCGTATAATTCACAATGTGCTTTCAGGGGCTGGCTCATAGTTATTGTTTAAAATTCTACTAAACATTTGATTTTTGTTTTTCTAGCAACTGAAATTAATCTCTGAACATTTTAGTGTGTTTATTTACAAATACAGCATCTCTAAGCGAGTTTTTGAACTCAGCATTTCATTTTGAAGGTGTCTGGAGTTTCATGTTAGTTGGTGATATGAGACTTCCATTCTTCCAGGTGGAAGATGAGCTCAGCTCCCCAGTGGTGGTGTTCAGATTTTTCCAGGAATTACCAGACTCAGGTCAGTGAATTTTAAAAGAGGGTTATTTTCATATCTGTGTTAAAGGCTTTGCATTTGATACCATTTCAAGTTAAATAGTTCAAAATGTTTTTATTGCAAAAAATCTTTAGTCAGCATTTCAGAAAAATGTAATAATGTTCATGAAAACTTCAGTCCGAAATGCCTTAGCATTTTGCTGATAGTTTGTGGTGATTAAACCAGGGGTTCCCAAATGCCAGTCCCTGGACCAGTGCTGGAATGGCTGAGAAAGAGTTTTATGCTTGAACATAAAGATTTGTGGGCCTTACTTCCCACGTATTTTGAGTCAGTAGGTTGTACCCAGAAATCTGTATCTTTAAAGAATGTCCCAAGTGCCACCAATCTAGTCCAGGGCACCGTTATTTTTTTACCTGGATGGCTATTGTCCCCTCTCAACTGATCTCTGACTTTCATACATTCTACACAGCCCATTCCAGACCATTCTCCACCTGGCAGAGTGAGGGTTGTAAGTGGAAGTCACATGGTGTTGAAACTGGAAAGGTTCCCTTGGCCCCCTCACAGGGCACGTGATGGGGGTGTGACTCGCTTCTTCAGTGCCCGCTGCTGCTCAGACCTCTAGGAGAGCAGACAGACAGGCGCGCTGTGGGGCTCCGACCCCGTGGCAGCATCTAGGGCTGAATGTTTTATAGCTCCTAAGGCCCCAGTGGGCATGTGTTACAGTGTGCTCTTTTAATTTAGTCGTCTGTAGGCAGCTTGTTTTAGCTCAATTAGACTCCCTTCCTTATCATAAGGACAGAGGGATTATTGTATCCCAGGTTCTTGCCTTGGTGTACCGGAAGAATGGGATCACACGTGGGCTTGGAGAATGAGTGCAAGGTTTATTGAATGGAAGTAGCTCTCCGCCAATGGTGGATCCAGAAGGGAGATCGTTTTCCCTTGGAGTTGGGCCGGTCAGCGGCCCTGGCCAAACTCCGCCTCATCCCGCTGGCTGATGGCCTGCTGGCTTGCTGGTCCGGGGTGCTCTTCTGCCGGCCTGCTCTCGATGACCAGCCCCCTGTGTCTTTTTCCACCAATGTGTTCCTCTTGCCATCCAGCCACTTTGGTCTGCCCACTAGGGTCTCAGGTTTTTATAGGCCCAGGATGGTGGTGTGGCGGGCCAGGGTGGTCTTGGGAAATGCTACATGTGGGGGAAGGCAGGAGTGCCTGTCCTCATGTAGGTCCGTGGGGTGGAGCCCTAGCCAGGGACCCGCCTTTCTCTCCCCAGCACTTTACTTCCCTGTTTCTGTGTCATTTAAAGGGACCATGCTCTTCCCTTCCCAGCACTCCTGTATCAGTGTCACTTCCCTGCCCAGAGCCCAAGGGTATCTTACCGTTTCAGTGGAACAAAGGCCAGGCTTTCCCACGCCCCATGAGGCCTGCACACTCTGCCCCGACTTCCCCTCTTCCCCTCTCCCTCTCGTTCATTGTGCCTCAGTCAGACCAGTCTTTTCCGCGCTGCAGGAACACTGCCCTTTCCTACTGCAAGGGCGTAACACTCGGTGTTCCCTCTGCCTCACACACATTTCTCTCTTCTGGTGCCAGCTCCTCCTCACCATTTCGGTCTCTACTAAGTATCCCCCTCCTCAGAGAGCCTTCCCTGCCTGTCCTGCCTGAGGGACTCCATCATTTTCTATCAGAGCCCCCAGCTTCTCTCGTGACACTAACAACCACATGGAGTGATTTTCTCTCTTTATGGTCCATTTCCTCAACTAAAATGTAAGCTCCAAGATGACAGAAACCTTACCTGCCTTCTGTCTCAAGTGTCGGGCTCTGTGCCTGGCATGGGTTGGCACCCACTGTGAGGCCTAGTTGGATGATCGTGGCACTCACAGACCTCACACGGTGCTTGGGAGACTGGTTACTCACTTACAACAATTGCTCTTTCCTCTTGAAATCCCTTGAAAGCAAACCTTTTCAAAACTGAAATTAATCATTCTGTTTTATGTGAATGTATTCAAGTGTCACATAGATCATGAGGAAAAAGAAACGTAGCTCTTGTGTCAGATAATACATGAGAATTCAGTAATACGAGTCAGTGCCCTGGGGCTAATATTGGGATGGGAATGATTAAGTGGGGTTGGGAGGGTGTTGTTTCTGGTCAGCTGTGTTTCTGGGAGTGACTGCCTTTCTGTGTTTTGGTGTCAGATCCGGTGTTTAAAGCTGTCCCAGTGCCCACCATGACACCTTCGGCAATTGGCCGGGAGAGGCACTCGTGTGACGCGCTGAATCGCTGGGTGAGAATGGCAGTTGCCTGCCTTTCCTTTCAGGTCCTGGCCCATCACCGTCCCACCTGCTGGTGAGGGTGACGCATGCTCCCGTATGGGAACTGAGGCCCACAGGAGGAGCCGCCCTGCCAGTGCTGGGCCTGCTCTGGGGTTCTGTTCCCCGTTCTGTTACCACCTCACGAGCTGGGTCACCTCTGGCAAGTCCTTCCGGCATTGCTCCCTCACTTTCCTTGCTGCCATATAAGGCTGTGAGATAACAGGCAACATGTGGGCTGCAGGGCAGCTGCGGTGGGTTCTGGTGAGCCCGGGCAGCACAGCCGGGAGCCCCAGGCAGAGTCTGCCGAGCATCTGCAGCTGGCAGTGTGGAGCCAGGCCCGCGCTTCAGTAGCTTTTTGGGCACTGGATAGTAACTCTAGGATTTGAGTCTGAAGCGTGTTGTGAACAGTGTGGGACGGCGTCAGCAGCGGTCCTAGCCAATGCTGGACACGCCCAGCCTAGCAGGGTTGGCGGATAAGTCCTGGTACACCCATGCTGGGGCTCAGCACAGCTGTGAGAGACCATAGAGGTGAATGTCTCAAGCAGAAGGGAACTGGTCATCATGAACAAAATGAATCAGTGCAGGTTACTAAGCAGTGTCGAGTAGCCTGTTTTATGGCAACAACTACAACACCCCACCTGCCACTCAGAGAAGTGACACTGGGGGTAGACCACATGTCAGCAGTGGGTGTCGCTTAGTAATGTGTTGTGGGTCATTGTTATTTTTTTCTTTTTGTTTACCTGTATTTCCTAAATTTTTCTACGATGAACTCGTATTAATAAGAAAAAAACATAAAATTACTGTTTTTAAAAAGCTGCTCTGAGTATTCAGAGACAGTCAAAAGATGAGAAGGAACCAGTTCTCCGGGAGCCTCTTTGGTCTGGGGCTGAGGGGATGAGGGTGGGTCCTGAAGACTTCGGAGTCCCTCGTTACAGGAGGGTGTTCATTTTGTCCTCCTCACAGCTGGGAGAACAGCTGAAGCAGCTGGTGCCTGCAAGTGGCCTCACGGTCATGGATCTGGAAGCCGAGGGCACTTGTGTGCGGTTCAGCCCTTTGATGACAGCAGCAGGTAACCAGGCTCGGACATCCCTTGCTCTTGTTCTGGGGCTGCTGGGTGGATTGGCTTGCGCTTATGATACTCCGTTCTCCTGGAGTCATTAGCATCTCTTTTTGGAGGGGCATTTTCTTTTCTTTTGGGCTAAATTTAGGTAGATTAGCATTCCCATGTAACTTATCAGAATCAGAATGAGAATTCAGAAGTCACCTGAATTGGCTGGGCTTGGTGGCTCATGCCTGTAATCCCAGCACTTTGGGAGGCCAAGGCAGGCGGATCATCTGAGGTCAGGAGTTCAAGACCAGCCTGGTCAACATGGTGAAACCCTGTCTCTACTACAAATACAAAAATTTAGCCAGGCCTGGTAGTACACGCCTATAGTCCCAGCTACTTGGGAGGCTGAGGCAGGAGAATCACTTGAACCCAGGAAGCAAAGGTTGTAGTGAGCCGAGACTACGCTGCTACACTTCAGCCTGGGCGACAGAGGAGACTCCGTCTCAAAAAAAAAGTCACCACCTGAATTCCTTTTTTGTTGCTGTTGAGTCAGGGTCTTGCTCCGTCACCCAGGCTGGAGTGCAGTGGTGCGATCATGGCTCACTGCAGCCTTGACCTCCTGGGCTCAAATGATCTTCCCACCTCAGCCCCTGAGGAGTTGGGACCACAGGCATGAGCCACCACACTGGACTGGTTTTTGCATTTTTTGTAGAAACGGGATTTTGCCATGTTGGCCAGGCCAGAATTCCTGTATTTTGATGTCTTGTGATATTCAGTTTCCCACTGCAAGGGTTCTCACTCCCCACTGCACGTGACAGTCACCCGGAGCTTTACACAACCAGTGGCTGCCCACCTCCAGAGAGTCTAGAATGGAGCCTGGGGGTCTGTGCTTTGGTTTTTATTATTTTTTTTAGAAACAAGGTCTCATTTGTTACCCAGGCTGGAATGCGGTGTGTTGACTATAGCTCACTGCAACCTCGACCTCCTGGGCTCAAGCAGTCCCCTGCCTCAGCCTCCCAAGGAGCTGGGACTACAGGCGAGCACCACCACATCTATTTTTTTTTTTTTTTAATTTTTCATAGAGATGTGGTCTCACTATGTCACCCAGGCTGCTCTTGAACTCCTGGCCTTAAGTGATCCTCTTGCCTCAGCTTCCCAAAGCACTGGCCACTATAAGGATTGCCTGGCCACAGCTCTACAGGCTTAGTCTCTAACACTGCAAAAGTAAGCCAGTGAGCCCTGAGGCCCGGCACTGTCACCATCTCCCTGCCGTTCCTGTGTGGGGACACCAGCCCACCACAGTACTTCCCTTTCTCTGTCATAGGAATGTATAGAATCTGCGGTTGGCTTTTTGTGCTGAACCTGTGGTGTGATGTCTCCAGCCTGCCTGAAGTAGGCTTGCTGTGGGAAGAGTGATTTCTAACACTGGAGTGTGTCATTGTGGGCCACATCTGTGAGGGAAACACTCCACGCCTGCTACAGCCAGCTGTGTCGTTTCTAACCCTAATTCTTCCATGTCTGGGTTGAGTTCCTTTTTTGTAGAAATCTCCACGGCTCCAGGTAACTGGAGTACCTCAAGCTTTTGGCCTTCCCGGTAGCGGAAGAGGGAGCCCTGCCCTCTTGTCATTGGCCATCTCGTGAGCATTTCTCTGACATTTTGTGAACATCTTCAGTTTTAGGAACTCGGGGAGAGGATGTGGATCAGCTTGTAGCCTGCATAGAAAGCAAACTGCCAGTGCTGAGCTCTACGCTCCAGTTGCGTGAAGAGTTCAAGCAGGAAGTGGAAGCAACGGCAGGTCTCCTATATGTTGATGACCCTAACTGGCCTGGAATAGGGGTTGTCAGGTAAAGTCTTAGCCTGCCACTTGATGTTAGAGATTTTTCTGTATGAAGAAAACGGGTGGGTCATTTTGTGAACCACCTTAGAAATCCAAGATGACTGTGTAGTCACAATATACTTAACAAAAATGCAACTCAGTTTTCTGGACATTTACAAAAGCACAGTGGAAGCAGGCGATTTGGCCCACCATGGCACTCAGGGAGGGGAGTTGCTGAATGTCCTGCCTGTATGTGCCGATTCTCAGCTACCTAGGAGAAGATGCCAACAGGTATAGATCACTGACAATGGTTACTATCCAGGGCATATAGAGAATTGCAAATCAGTAAGAGAAAGAACCCAGCTCTTGGGGAGAGAGAACTCCCCTGTCCTTTCTCGTTCAGTGGGTGCAGTCCTGTGGCTGCTTTCTCTCGCCTTCAGAGGTGAGGCAAACCTCTTTTTGTATTGCACATGAGACTTCCAGACCTTGCATGGAACTAAAGACTTAGGCTTTCGGCTGGGCATGGTGGCTCCTGCCTGTAATCCCAGCACTTTGGGAGGCCGACAGGAGGATAGATCACTTGAGGTCAGGAGCTTGAGACCAGCCTGGACAACATAGCGAAACCCCATCTCTACAAAATTACAAAAGTTAGCCAGGGGTGGTGGCGCACACCTGTAGTCCCAGCTACTCGGGAAGCTTAGACGGGAGGATCAACTGAGCCCAGGAAGTGGAGGTTGCAGTGAGTCAAGATCATGCCACTGCACTCTAGCCTGGGCCACCAAGTGAGACCCTGCCTCAAAAAAAAAAAAAAGAAAAAAAAAAGGCTTTCCTGTGACTTTCTCTTTACTCCTGGCAATCTATACACCTGTGGCCTTCCTGAAAGTTTGGTCTGGAGACACTCACAGTAGCTCTTTTGCCCATTGGTTCCACTCCATTGTCTTGCTAATATAATCCTGTATCAGAAGAGATATTTGATCTTTCAGGCTGAAATGCTGTCGTTTGATGTTATTTTAGGTATGAACATGCTAATGATGATAAGAGCAGTTTGAAATCAGATCCGGAAGGGGAAAAAATCCATGCTGGACTCCTGAAAAAGTTAAATGAACTGGAATCTGACCTAACATTTAAAATAGGTAATTACTTTTATAAGTCAGCTGTGAGGTTTGGAAGGACATTTGCTAACTGGCTTTAAAGAAGATGGCTTATCTCTTGGAGGGTTAGCATCTCTCCGGCTGAGTTCTGGGCGAAGGTGCGGTTCTGAGACCTTCCTCCCCTTCTGCAGCCTTGCCAGGCCTTTCTCTCTGTCCTTAGAATCTCCATGGAGGAGACCCCTTTGTGTGTGGTCGGGCCACTGGACAGGAGAGCAGGTCCACGTCTCACCCATGACAGAGGACTTGGGAACCCAAGTTTGTCTCATTTCCTTTGCAGGCCCTGAGTATAAGAGCATGAAGAGCTGCCTTTATGTCGGCATGGCGAGCGAGGACATGGACGTGGCTGAGCTCGTGGAGACCATTGCGGCCACAGCCCGGGAGATAGAGGAGAACTCCAGGGTCCGTAGCACCCATCAGTGTTCATTCCTTTTCTGAGTTTTGTCCCACCAAACAGTGGGGGTCACGAGGAAAGGAGCTGCCCTTGGGATGTCTGTTCGGTCTCTCTTAAAGTCTGTCAGTGTTTCCTGTAAGCTGGGCCTTGTGCCAGGTGTCAGGGATGCCAAGTGGGTTTGACAGCCCATGCCCCAGTGATCTCCCAAGCTCAGGAGGAAAGATCCACATAGCCACGCTGTGTAGTAACCCCGCCTTGGAGAAGAGGGCGGGTAGCTGGACACACAGGCAGACACATTCACCCCTGCCACCAAGGTCAGGGAGGACTTCCGCTCTGGAGCTGTGTCCTGAGGGTGAATGAAACAGGGACTGCTTTATGTGTGGTTCCCCCCATACCCCTTGCCTACAGCACTTCCCACCAGGAACAGACCTACTGCTGTGGGTCCCTTAGTGTGGAGGACCAGGCTAGAAGGCTGATCAGGTATCCTCCAAACAGATCATTACTTCCCTAAAATCACTCAAAAGGAGAGAAGAGGGACCAGGTAAGACTCCTGTAAAAGGAAGAAGAGAGGCCAAGGTAAGACTCCTGTAAAAGGAGAGAAGAGGGGCCAAGGTAAGACTCCTGTAAAAGGAGAGAAGAGGGGCCAAGGTAAGACTCCTGTAAAAGGAGAGAAAGAGAGCCAAGGTAAGAAAAAGGAGAGAAGAGGGGCCAAGGTAAGACTCCTGTAAAAGGAGAGAGGCATGTGGCCGAGGAGCCAGCTTCATTCCTTCCTGGGTGGACTCCTTGAGGTTTCTTCCCAGCCTGACTTTATGACTTCTCTGTTTTCAAGAATACCTACCAAATGAGGCTGGTCACCAAGGTGTGTCTGCCTAGGTCTCTTATGAGCATTTTATCTGCTTGTCTTTGATTTTCTATTTTTTTTTACACGGCATTTCAATGCAGGATTTTATTGACCTGCTTTTGAAATATTCCCTCAGTGCCGTGTTACTAGCTCTTCTGGGCCCCAGGCGAGCAGCTTAAACAAGTAATGCCTTTCTTGGTCTTAACCGCAGCTTCTGGAAAACATGACAGAGGTGGTTCGGAAAGGCATTCAGGAAGCTCAGGTCGAGCTGCAGAAGGCAAATGAAGAACGGCTTCTGGAAGAGGTGAGGCCCCCGACGGGCAGCAGGCTGGGGGCACCACCACGAGGCCAGGTGACCCTGAGCACTGGTCGTGTCTTGCAGGGGGTGTTGCGGCAGATCCCTGTAGTGGGCTCCGTGCTGAATTGGTTTTCTCCGGTCCAGGCTTTACAGAAGGGAAGAACTTTTAACTTGACAGCAGGTAGGATGGCGTAGCTGCCTCCCAGGTCTCATTGACCTTGGGAGCTTTCACCAGATGCCCTTGGGTCCCAACACTCTTTGCATGGAGAAGCCCGGCCTGGTTGGTTCCCATTCTTCGTCACTGGGTGTGGGCTGGGCATCTGAGGAGACAAGGTCTGGTGTGCCCTGCCCTCTTCCTCCCCCTACACCCTGGCGGCTGAAACAGCAGGGAAGCAGCTACCCGCTCTCTGCAGCTGTTGCCACCGCTGAGGCCATGAGGACGCGCCTACTCAGCTGTGCAGACTCTTAGGGTGCTGTGTCTTGGGCATTTTGGTTCAGGGTTAATACTTCTTGTCTTCACATGTGTTCTGCGCCAGCAGAGGACGGCTTTTGCAAGCAGCAATGCAGAGACTGAAGCATGGAGCGCTGGCAGAGTTTATTTTGAACCAGGCAGCCAGCAAGCGTTCCAGCCGCTGGAATGTGGGGAGGGGACTCCTTTCCTGTTCTACCGAGGAAGGAAGTTCCTACACTCGAGCCCCTTCCTTCATTCTTCCCCAGGAAACGATGGCTCCATTGTCATGAAAGCAAAAGATAATCTGATTTCTAATCTCCCAAGCCTTAGCCTTCAGCAGAGGCACCCACTTCTTGTGGCTACAGTACATTTCCCTGTTGGGCCTGGCTCCCCGGGTGCACTCATGCGGCACTGCTGGCGAGTGCTGGCACTGTGAGGCGCTTTCTCTAGCTCTCAGCACATTCGTAAGTGCTCTCGTCTCCACCGGTCTGTGGCAGGCTCAGTGGCTGGAAAGAGGTTATTGGGGAGCAAGGCTATGTGAGGGCAGGTGGTGTCTTCCAGGGCGGCCTGTGCCTGTAGTTTCCACCCAGCCCTCTCTTCTCCCGCAGGCTCTCTGGAGTCCACGGAACCCATATACGTCTACAAAGCACAAGGTGCAGGAGTCACGCCGCCTCCAACGCCCTCGGGCAGCCGCACCAAGCAGAGGCTTCCAGGTAAGTGACCCCCCCCACGCTGAGTTCAGGTATTCCTTTGTTTTCTGGGTTCTTGAACTCCAGAGGTCTATTTCTCTTCATTTAAGACCAACCACCGCCCTCTCTTTAACCATTTTGGTGGCTGTGGAATTCAGCCTTGAAGAAATCCCTCGGTAGCATGCTAAGGGGAAGTTGGGGTCTTCTTCCCCAACTTCCCCCCAACAGTGAAAGATGACATTGTCACTGTGGTGTTTCCCCTCCTGCGCATTTCCTAATGGAGATGACCTTAAGAGTTCCCTGGCCTGGGGAGCATGTTGGTGTCACGCTAGCAGCTCTTGGTTTTCTCATCTCTGAACACACCTCAGAGCCAGTAGTTAAGATTTCTGCGGAAGCCGTGTCCAGAAGTAAAGCAGTTACCTGCTGCAGAGCCAGCCTGTGTCGCGGAAGTCTCCTCACTGAGCCTCGGCGCGGTCTGTCTGCCCTTTCTGTAGGCCAGAAGCCTTTTAAGAGGTCCCTGCGAGGTTCAGATGCTTTGAGTGAGACCAGCTCAGCCAGCCACATTGAAGACTTAGAAAAGGTGGAGCGCCTGTCTGGTGGGCTGGAGCAGATCACCCTTGAGGCCAGCAGCACTGAGGGACACCCAGGGGCTCCCAGCCCTCAGCACGACAACCAGAGCGAGGCCTTCCAGAAAGGGGCCCCACACCCAGAAGATGACCACCCACAGGTAGAAGGAGCGGAGAGCTTAAGATAAGACTCACTGTGTGGTTTGAGACTGTACTGAGTATTGTTTCAGGGAAGATGAAGTTCTATTGGAAATGTGAACTGTGCCACATACTAATATAAATTACTGTTATTTGTGCTTCACTGGGATTTTGGCACAATTATGTGCCTGAAAGGTAGGTTTTCTAGGAGGGCAGTCAGCTCGTCTAACTTCCTGTAAATGTAGAACCACCAGGAACTGTTTGCTGTCCTAATACCACTTTTTCCTAAGTTACCATAAACGCTTTTTATTCACAAAAAACACTTCGAATTTCAAGTGTCTACCACTTGGACCCTTGCTCTTTCTAAACATAAGCCTAAGTGATGAGGTTGCATGTGGCAACTTTTTGGTCAAACAGCTTTTCATTAGCATTCTCCAGGTTCTCTGCGACACTTCAGAAGTGAGACTGGCCGTTTCCTTTGCTGTCGGTGTTAGTCGGTCTTTAGTATGATCAACTTGCAATATACAACGGGCCTGCTAGGCTTGAAGGAAAGCAGTGTTTGTGGGATTGTAAATAAGAGCATCAGAAACCCTCCCCAGCTACTGCTCTTCCTGGAGACTTAGTAAGGACTGTGTCCACTTGAGCTGTGGCAAGGCTGCTGTCTAGGACTGTCCTCTGCCACAAGCCCGTTTCTCCCTTTATATACTGTTTGTAAAGAGAAACTATGTAAAGTCTCCTCCTGACCATATATTTTTAAATACTGGTAAAGCTTTTAAATTGGCACATAAGTACAGACTGTGCTCATTTCTGTTTAGTAGGTGAAAACCCAATAGATGCTACCCTTAAGAGCCTGTTCTTCCGTGTGCTGCATAGCACCCACCTGGGTTAAAATCTGAAAGCAAGTACCCCTTTGACTTGTCTCCCACTGAAGCTTCTGCAGCTTCTACTGCCCTGGCAGCTCACCTGGGCCCAACTCAGAAACACGAACCAGCAGATCACTCTCATGCTGATCCAGCCAGGCTCCCTGCTTCAGTCAGTAGAAGCTCGCACGCACTGCCTGTTCCTCCTTTTCCGAAGTACTGCATCACTTCGTAGTAAGTCATGGCCCCTGTGCCTTCTTAGTCCAGCGGAGTCAAACTTTTGGGAGACCTGAAAATGGGGAATTCACACTGGGTTTCTGGACTGTAGTATTGGAAGCCTTAGTTATACCGTATTAAGCCTATAATTATACTCTGATTTGATGGGATTTTTGACATTTGGCACTTGTTAAAACAAATGCAGGGTTTTTTGTGGGTTTTTTTTGGTGCAGATGATTAAAGTCTTCCCTATTTGGTGCAATGAATTATAGCAGATAAAATGGGGGAGGGGTAAATTATCACCTTTAACAAAATTACATGTTTTTATATATATTTGGAATTGTTAAAACTGGTTTTGCTGAAACATTTCACCCTTGAGATATTATTTGAATGTTGGTTTCAATAAAGGTTCTTAAAATTGTTAACAGTGAATTCAGTTTATAAATGTTATTACAAAAGACTTACCCAAGTACCTGAAATAGCTGCTGATAGACCAGTGGGAGGTAGGGTCTCCTCTGCCCCTTGTTACTGACCAAAAAAAAGCTGGACATCAACTTTTTAGTAAACCGAAAAGTAAGTCTCAACAAATGCCTTTGCCAAAATAAGGTTTTATTTTGAAAGTCATTTGAAAGACAGGAGGGAAGGAGGCCTACGACCCAACGGATGTAGGTTCCAAATCTGGATTCGTGCCAGCCCCACCAATGGTCTCTGTCAGGCCAAAAAGGTGCTTTCTTTGGTAATTCCTGTTTTTTAGCTTCCTGGAGAAGAGATCTTTTCCCACAAGCCATCTTCATTTTTTTTGTAGAGTAGGGCTTTATTTCCAGGAAACAGTGTGTTAGTTGGAGATGGGTATTTTTTTAAAAACATCAAGGTAGATCTAATATGTTCAACAAAGTGAGGCGGCTCAGCCAGAGGCGAAGTAGAAAGATTCTGAAAACACAAGATGGTGGGCATGAGAGAAGTCACTTTGCTGTCCCCCGCTTTGATAAAGATGTCAAAGTATCTTTGTTCTTGGCCACATATATAGTAAATTACGTAAGAAATGAGGTGGCTTGGATTAATAAGAAAGAAGTTGAATGCTTACTGCTTTACCCACACAAATTTCCATCCAGGACTTGACATATCCCCAGTTGATATACAAGTTAAATGGGGTCTGTCAATGGCATCCAAAAAGTAAAAGGGGAAAGCAGCTATGACCTGGTCTAAACCCTTTTTTTTCCTTACAGATGGGGAAACCAGGGTCCAGAGATTTAAGACTTACCCAGCCTGTAAACTCTCACCTCTAGTATTTGCTTGTCATCTTGCTGCAACCAGAAATCCACATGTGGAAATGGCGTCCAGGAGTACGGTCCTATACGAAGTTGTTCTGTCTCTGCATCGTAAATGCTAATCATCTAAAAAAGAACGTGTCAAGAATAGAATTTCAGGAATGTCACCCACTTTTCAAACCCTCCCAGTAACGCAAGCGCCAGTGTAGTCCTTTCATGCATTTCTCTGCATAAGCTTCGGAAAGCCTGTCTGAAATAACAAACTGCCAGCTACTGAACACGTCCCATGTGTCTGCTGCTGCACGCTGTGGGGCATACACATGACTGCTGAGCGCCAAGAGCAGTCCCACAGGACAAGGGTGTTTTTCCCATTTGGGGTGAAAACTTGAGGCTCAGAGAAACGGGGCCCATTTCCCAGGTCACATGTCCAGTAAGCCTCAGAGCTGGGCCTCAAACCCAGGTGCGTCTGACTAAAGTCTGTATTCCTCATTGCCTCATTATTTATACCCCAAACAACTGATCACCTTGCAATTTAAAAGCATACAGTGCCTGCTGCCCTGTCTCTGAATTGACAAAAGACCACAGCGAAAAGTCTGCACAGTCTTAACACTTCTACCACCACTCCTAAGAGAAAGATAGGAAGGTGAACAGAATGGCTCCTAAGTGTCTAGAGTTCCCCCTCCCTGGAGAGGGAAAATGCAACCTTTACCCCATCAAAAGAAAGAAGCTAATTTGCCAAATGATCCATTCCCTGAATTCCCAAATTTGCCAATGGCAGCCTCGGCTTACCCAGCAATATTCACTTTGGTAACTGAGACTGAAATATGTTCTGAGTATCAAACTAAACTAGGCCTGTTATGCTCCTTGAGAAGTTCTAAAAATGTTAAAAGGGCTGGCAAAACAAATCGCTCTGAATTCAAACACATTTTCCAGTGAAAACATCAGCATTTCATAAATGAGAAGATTTCTTTGGGGTGGCCTTAATATGATTTCTGTTTTTTCACACTTTGAGCATTTTTAAAGCTTCCACCCATTCCTCAAATGGCATATAAACCTTTTCTGTTTTCTAACTTTCAAAATTACAGTGTTATTTAATTAAGTACACTGAGGGAATCAGACTTTAATTTGATCATTATTTTGGGTTGTTTCAGCAAATGGCTCTTCGGTGACCGGGTCCAAAAGAATGCCTAGTCCCGAGTGCAGGGGGAGAAACCTCCACTCCTGCGTCCCAGGTCTCCTCTCTTTGTAGGAGCTTTATAGGAAGGCCCTTACGAAGTAACAGAAGTTTGTTCTCTTTGAATTCAGATGCTTGGGTTCACACATACCTCCCACACCTTTTAGGCAGAGTACTGGAGCTGATGATGACCTCAAGATGTTCATTACTATTTTGAGACAGTGAGTGTGGGGAGGTATGTATGTATGTGCTGGTCCCTGCTAATTGACAACTGTAAAGAAGCTGACATACAGCATAAACTTTTCTAAGATCCAGAAAACTTAAGGCCTTGATATTTGATGCCTTTTTTTTTTTTTTTTTTTTTTTAACCCCTTAACAAAGATGATTTCAAACTCACTGGTCCTCCTGCTAAAGTCCGCGCGGCCCGCAGCTGCTCCTCTGGACCCCGATCTTGAAAGGAGGCTCTGTAAATCTCTGCAGTCTTAATATTGACAGCTGTGAAGGACAACAGGATGACTCTGAATTGACAAAAGACCAAGGCAAAAAGTCTGCACAGTCTTAACGTTTCTACCACCACTCCTAAGAGAAAGATAGGAAGGTGAACAGAATGGCTCCTAAGTGTCTAGAGTTCCCCCTCCCTGGAGAGGGAAAATGCAACCTTTACCCCAAGAAAAGTGCAGGGAGGCCCGAGCTGAACTCGATGAGATTTTGTTCTACACCAAGAGCTGCTTTTCCACATAGGAGGCAGCCATTCCTTCAGCTGGACATGTAGCAAAACCTCTGGTCAGCTCTACTGGTGTAAAGTCAGGGGTAGGTAGGTGAACTGTGATCGTTCTGTTGGAATCTTCACAATTTAGTATTTTATACATACATAAAATTACAGAGAATAGAACAGTGAACACCGTGTACCTACTACCCAGCTAAATCAATCAGGTATCACCGATACAGCAGCAGCTCTCTGAAATACAACCGATTCCTCGCCTTTTCCTCAGGAGTCCTGGGGCTGTCAAGCAGGGAGGATGGTTCTGGGTTTTCTCTAGCCTGAGTTTTACACTTTAGAGGACTTCTGTTCTCAAGCAAAACCTCCTCAGTTTCTGATGTATAGAAGGATTCCAGCGCCTGCTTTCCTCCCCCAGTGCACTGGCAGGAGAAAAGTGCGCCTGGCCTGGGGTGCTGGGGAGAGAGGGAAACAAAACCAGGCGCTCTCCCAGCTCCTGGGAAGGGTGGGCAGGGCCTGTGCTTTCTATTTGCTACCATGTTACTGCTTCAAAGTCTTAAGAAATGAATGTTACCTCAGTTTTGTAGGTAAAGCTTAGAGAAGTAAGCTACTTGCCCAAGGTTTCACAGCAGATGTTGGCAGGAGCTGGGATCTGAACCCAAGGCTGTCCCATCCTGACAGCAGTGGGGTCACTGGTTTGCTGAATTAAGACTTTAACGGCACATGTGACCAAGCCTCCAACCCACAAAAGATGCACACTACTTACCAATGCCATATATTATCGGAAAGTGGTTTTCCTTTTCTTCCCGGTCATTTAATTCTACAAAATAAAAAATGTTCAAGATACACTTTTTAAAGAAATACCAATTATTTTTACTTTGTATAATGAAGGCCAAGAAGGAACTCAATGCAGAAAGGGAGGAAAATTCCAGAAAATGAAAGGGATTGTGGCCCTGTTTCCCTACCCTGTCCCAAGGCAGGGGGGTTTATACTGAACAAACTGGCAGCTGCAGAATTGGTCCCCACTCCCCCACCTTCTCCGTGCACCCGTCTGCCACACAGGTGGTGGCTCCTCTGAGATCCAGTGCCCCCCTTCCTAGGAGACGAGGGGGCCGCATTGAAACTGAGGCTGGGCAGATGGTGACAAGGGCAAGAGGAAGGCCATCCCACCACAGGAAGAGCCAGAACAGATGCTGGCCAACCCGTGACAGCAGTGTGTGCCAGGACTTGGGCCCACTGCAAGGCTGGGGGCAAAACAGTCCGAGACCCACATCTTCACTTTGGGACAAATGGCAGAACTTACCTGTCACACACAATGTCACTAAGTGAATGTCATCTTCTTGCCTGTCAAATTCACCTACGATGAGAAGTTCAAGACTGGATGTCAGAAAAGTTCCTCTAGTTACCAGAACAAACTGCTCAGCAAGCCAAGCACAGGCAGAGACAGCAGCCAGCTGAGTGTGCTCCACCCTACACCCCAACGCCCACGCCCAAGCAGCCACAGCCTGGCCTCTGGGGAGCTGACACCACAGAACCCTGACCGCCAGAAGACAGCCACATTCTCAGCCTCAGGCCCAAAGGAGCCTGGGCTGAGCCTTCCCATTTTTTCTCCTCATTCTGAGAGTTTTGCGGGGACCCATGGATTCATAAGATTTTTACTTTTCTCCTAAGTAAACTGTTTTCCTGATTATCAGAGTTGTAAAAACAAACATCTGGCCACTGTAACAGATTTGAAAAATACAGGAGAACATAGGGAAGTTGGTTTTTAATGTCCATAATCCTAGCACTGTTAATAATTAGTGTATTTTCTTCCGTATTTTTCTGTGCTCAGCAGAGCTGACCATAAAGACAATTTTACTTTTTTTTTTTTTTTTTTTTTAAGATGGAGTCTTAGGCCCTGTCACCCAGGCTGGAGTACAGTAGAGCAATCTCTGCTCATTGCAATCTCTGCCTCCCGGGTTCAAGCGATTCTCCTGCCTCAGCCTCCCGAGTAGCTGGAATTACAGGTGTGCGCCATCACGCCCAGCTAATTTTTATATTTTTAGTAGAGACGGGGTTTCACCAAGTTGGCCAGGCTGGCTGGTCTTGAACTCCTGATTTCAAGTGATCCACCAGCCTTGGCCTCCCAAAGTTCTGGGATTACAGGAATGAGCCACTGCGCCCAGTCGACAATGTTATATCCTGATTTGCTTGTGCATAGGTATTTTCTCATGTAATTCTCACCTTTATGTGTTATTTTTTAGTGACTACATAATTATTATTCTGATAACATCAGATTTCCTGTTATAAGTAATGTTCTACTGCTCATCTTCAGGCTCAAATCTCTGTGCACATTTCAGATTATTTTCTTAGCATGTATTTCCACAAGGGGAATTACTGGGTCAAAGGATATGAACCTTTTATTTTTTGAGACTGAGTCTCCCTCTGTCACCCAGGCTGGAGTGCAGTGGTGCGATCTCAGCTCACCACAACCTCCGTCTCCTAGGTTCAAGCAATTCTTCTGCCTCAGCCTCCTGAGTAGCTGGGATTACAGGCGTGCACCACTATGCCCATTTCGCTCTTGATGCCCAGGCTGGAGTGCAATGGCATGATCTCAGCTCACCACAACCTCCACCTCCCGGGTTCAAGCAATTCTCCTGCCTCAGCCTCCCAAGTAGCTGGGATTACTACAGGTGTGCTCCACCATGACCAGCTATTTTTTTATTTTTAGTAGAGACGGGGTTTCCCCATGTTGGTCAGGCTTGTCTCAAACCTCTGACCTCAGGTGATCGGCCTGCCTTGAACTCCCAAAGTGCTGTGATTACAGGCAGGAGCCACCGCACCTGGCCTAATTTTTGTATTTTTAGTAGAGACAGGGTTTCACCATGTTACCCAGGCTGGTCTTCAACTCCTGACCTTAGGTTATCCACCTTCCTCGGCCTCCCAAAGTGCTGGGATTACAGGCATGAGCCACTGTGCCCGGCCGGATATGAACCTTTTTTAGGAGTTAACTCAGGGCGAGACCCTGTCTCTACAAAAAATTTAAAAATCAGCTGGGCATCCGTCCTGGCTAACACGGTGAAACCTCGTCTCTACTAAAAATACAAAAAATTAGCTGGGCGTGGTGGCGGGCACCTGTAGTCCCAGCTACTGGGAAGGCTGAGGCAGGAGAATGGCATGAACCCGGGAGGCGGAGCTTGCAGTGAGCCAAGATCGCGCCACTGCACTCCAGCCTGGGTGATAGAGCGAGATTACGTCTCAAAAAAAAAAAAAAAGAAGAATCAGCTGGGCATGGTGGCATGCACCTAGTCACAGCTACTTGGGAGGCTGAGGAGGGAGGATCACTTGAGCTCAGTAGGTTGAGGCTGCAGTAAGCCATGATGGTGCCACTGCACTACAGCCTGGGCGGCAGAGTGAGGCCTTCAGTCATGATGCCAAATTGCTTCCCGGACAGGCTGTACCATTGTATGAGTAAGCTTACCTCACAACCTCGTGGTTAGTCCACACACAACAATGTCATCTTTGTTTCCTTCTTTCTTGAAAATATTTGCTAATTTAGGCCAGGCACAGTGACTCACACCTGTAACCCCAGCACTTTGGGAGGCTGAGGCAGGTGGATCACGAGGTCAAGAGTTCACGACCAGCCTGGCCAACATGGTGAAACCCTGTCTCTACTAAAAATACAAAATTAGGTGGGTATGGTCGCTCACGCCTGTGATCCCAGCTACTCGGGAGGGTGAGGCAGGAGAACTGCTTGAACCCAGGAGGCAGAGCTTGCAGTGAGCTGAGATTGTGCTACTGCACTCCAGTCTGGTCAATAGAGCAAGACTCCGTCTCAAAAAAAAAAAAAAAGAAAGAAAGAAAAAGAAAAAAACATATTTGCTAATAGGGAAAAAATGGTATCATCAATGTTTTAATTTTCTGCAGATTAAAATGGACATTTTTGCCAGGAGGGAGGGTGGCTCTGTTTTCACACAGTTGAGAGCACTTACTGTTTTGGAATGTGTCCACTGCTGTTTTAGTAGAAAATCTTGTCTCCAGCCCTGCTACCCTACACATGAGCTCCATGCATTCAGTGTTTCTGTGAAATTCCAAGCGAGGCAGTCTGTTTCTCTACGCTGCTCCAAGTGGGGGTACCCTTCTTAGGTTTTGTACTAGTTGGGATTTTTAACCCAAGCAAATACAGGTACATATTTGTG